GGGTCACATGCACACCCGGTCACATACACTCACTCACTTACACAGGGTCACATGCACACCTGGTCACATACACTCACACACTTACACACACAGGGGTCACATGCACACCTGGTCACAAATACTCACACACTCACACACATAGGGGTCTCACGTACACCAGGTCACACACACTCACACACTTACACACACAGGGGTCACACATTAATATGAGGAACGGAGTTGTTCTATGTGGCTGCTACACTCACATGGCCACACAACTCACGCACTCACACCCTCAGTTACAGTCACATACCTTGCACACGGTCCCGCTCATTCGCACATCCCAGCACAGTCACACTCACAGTCACAAGACGATGCAGTCTCCCTGCCAGGCAGCAGCAGAGCCCCGGGAATGGTGAGCTGCAGCCGGGTGGGTTGGAGCGGGGGCCAGCACGGCCGAAACTTCACGGAGCTGGCCCCAGGCCTGTGGCCCTGAGGCACTGCCAGCCAGCGTGGCCACCTGTCCCCCCTCTGCTGCAGGGCCGGGGCATGGTGCCTCCGCCTGTTGTGGGAGCCTCCAGCACAGACCACCCAGCGCCCTCAGCCTCCGGCTTCTGGCCACCAGGGAAAGCAGGAGTGGGGCCGACTGACGGACCTGGGACCTTGAGAGCTGACCAGTGGCCTTAGCATCGTGAGTGCATGAGGTCCCACCAGCAGCTTAGTAGGCTTCCAAGCCCTAATTAGCAGAGCTGGGCCAACAGCAGTGACCCAGGTGCTAGGTAACCCCTGCGGACGGTATAGTCGGGCAACTGGGACGTGTCTCCTGCCGGCTGTGGGAAGGTGTTGGGGTGAGATGTATTCTGCTTTGCGGCTTTTCCTCTGGTTTGGGGGCCTCAGTTGTGGGGTGTGAGGGGAACCCCCAGGTGTTGGCTGGTGAGGGCTGGGGTCTGGTAAGGCTGGCGAGTGTAGTCCGACCTGTTGTCATGCTCTTTGGCTACAGAGGCACGTCAACCTTCTGCAGACCCTACCCACCTCCAGAAGCCCAGAGGCGTAGTCGCATCTGCCCGTGGAAGTCAGGAATGGAGTTTTGGCTTAAAACTTTCATTTCAATGAAGCACAAGTCAGTCTCGACGCTGTAGCCCACGGTCACCCCAGCACAGGCACTCAGCCCTGCCCACACGAGGGAACCCACTCAACGCTTCTGCTCATGTCATTTTTGTTGTGTGTAGTGGCAGCAGGGTCCTTGCTGTTCATGAGGCAGGTGTTGTTTTAAATGAGCACTTAACACTTATGTGATTGTTTCTGGGGCACACTTAACCACCACACTTGCTCCTCGCGCCCCAGGAGCTAACTGGAGCTTCTAATGGAAGGGGCAGCTGTGAGGCCAAATCCTGGCAACAGCGTGTGTGTGTGTGTGTGTGTGTGTGTGTGTATTGGAGGGAGAGGGGAAGAACGGTGTCAGGAATGGCAGGGGAGAGGCAGCCCTTCTGCACGCCGAAGTCAGCTTTCTGAGCTGCCTCCTGGTTCAGATCTCACCTCTGTTATCCGCAGGTTGTCCTTGGATGGGTCTGCTTGCTTGCTGATTCCTCCCCTAAAGACCAGACAACGCTAACAGTGGAGACCCCACAGAGCTTTGTGGGGATTAGGGGGGCTTCATGGGTATGGAGTACCTCCAAGGGTCCCCACTCCTCACACTTCAGCTCTTCCCATGCCATCACTCCTGGTGTGGCCTTGGGCCTTGGCAGCCGCCTAGAGAAGGGTCAGGTCATTACGGCTGGGACGCGGCCTCGCAGTGGAGGTGCGCTGGGAGAGAGGGTGCTTCAGTGTGCCAGCACACCCCTCCTGACCTCAGTCCTCCAGCCTGGCCCCCTGCGCAGTGAGTTCAGGGTCAGTGAAGTTCCAGAATCTCTAACGTGATTTTTTTAAACTGGACCAGAGTGGGGTGGGATGCTCCATTTAATGGGTGGACAAATGGAAGACATGAAGAACACACGGAAACGTGGCCCTGAAGAGAACCAGGGAGGAGACGGGAGCAATACGATTGACTGAACAACATAGGGCTGGGGTGGAGCGGGCGAGTGGGGCCGTCAGGTGGGAGGGTGCCAAGGCAGGTTCTCTGTGAGGATGAGAGTCCAGCCTCATGGAACCACCCCAGGGCAGGGCGCTTTGCCCTGGGAGCCCGTCGGCAGTCCACCACCTGAGACAGCCCCAGCAGAGGGTGGTGCTGGGCCAGTGGGCAGTGTTGCCTGGGGGACTTCAGCCTGGACCCGTGACCTAAGGCTTCTATCGATCCAGGTGTGTGTGCTTCTCCGAGCTGCGGGTCTCACTTCAAAGGCTCTTCAGTAGGACATGCAGGTCCCTCCAGGTGCCAGCAGACAGGCTGGCACCAAGGCTGTACAGCCTTCCACTTTGCCAGTCCCCTGACGCCAGCCCAGTCCAGGCCAGACGAGCTTTAGTGGGGTGTTGATTCTCACTCTCTGGGTGAACATGGCCCCTGTTCTCTCCAACCACCCAACTACTTCCTAATGCCGTCTTTCCTCTGCTCACTGCAGTGGCTTCCATTCTCCCCGGGGCTAGGAGGGGGCCTGCAGGCTCCCACTCCCATGAGCCGGGGCTACTTGCCAGACAGTGCTGAGTCACTCCTTCAGACTGGCACAGACTTGTGGGTCCTGGCTTCCTGGGGGCTTCTGGGAGGAGCCCAGGGGCTTTTGAGGGCTGCCATGGCACCTGTACCCAAACATGCCCAAGTCCCTTCAGCTGCTACGGTTCAATCTGAAGGCTTCAGAGTCAAGACTCATTCTCTGAGATTCACTGGTCTTTAAGACAGAGGCGAGCAGCGGGCGCGCTGGTTGATGGTGCCGGTCTTGCCCAGATGCATGGGGCTTGCACACTGCTTCACGAGTGAAATTCAGGTATTTCCACAGGAAGTAGAGCACCTGAAGCAACCAGAACGACCTCTCCTGTCTGGCCAAGGAGGCTGACTTGCCCCGTGTCTGAGGCTGCACTGTACAAAATGAACAGGGCACCACCAGCACTAACGGCTTCCTTTATTCTTCCATTTAGCCAGAGACAATCAGAGCTGATTCCTCCTCAAAACGGAAAACCACATGCAGGAGAGAAAATAGCCACGCTGAAGGAATGACCGAGCACTTTGGGTTTGTCTAGTTCACGTATTTTATTTATCCAGTGAAGGGGGAGGGGAGCGGCACAGAGTCTGAGAGAGTACCAAGGTCACACCTCTGTTTTCCTCTAATTTAAATCCACAGATTAAGTGCAAGGGATAAAGAGGACATCTTGCTGGGGAACAACACATCTTATTTGAGAACAAAACCCCGCTTTAAGGTTACTATCCGCCCAGGGGCTTCTTATTTGAGGATGGCTTACTTTCATCTTTATAAAAATATGACAGCATGGTATAAGTTGCTGGGGTGGATATCCAAGGTAGGTAGTGAGAAGCTGGCAGACTTGGTGGCTTTCCAGGAGTTCAGTTCTGAAAAAGTCCCACCATGGTGAGAGCCACAGAACCACATTACCATTCTTGGGGGAGACACTCAGTGACATGGCAAAAAGAGAATCTCAAGATATTTGAGCAGGGGAGGCCTGTAGAGCCCACTGTGCAGACGGGGAGACTGAGGCTTAGGGAGCTAAATACTTTCTGCACAGTCACACAGCGAGGGAGGAGCAGGAACTCAGGTTTCCTGGCCTCTAATTCTGTGCCTTTGGACATTGCTGTTAGATACTCCTAATATTAATTTTTTTTTCAATTCTAAAGTTGGCAATTTTAGCTTTTGAAATGAAAAAAAAAAGTGGAGAAAACAAAAAGATTTATGTAGAACACTAATGAATTTGTAACCGATCTCAGCAACTTCATATTAAGATATAGTTAAAAGACTAGTGTTGGGATCCAAGTCCGGGAACTCCACATTTCTACGAGCACACAGGACAACCTCTTGCACACAGTGACACAGGGAGGAAGACAGCACCACGCAGGGTTGGAAAACCAGGGTCGGAAAGTAAAATGGACCAAGTCAGCCTCGGGCGGCTGGTCAAATGACGCGGAGAGGAACACAAAGCCACAATATGGGAGAGGGACTGCGGAGGGGCTCCTGGTGGGGACTCAGAGCACCCGTCCTATGCAGCTGGGTGCGTGTGCATTGGCTAACTCGTGGCTGCTACCTTCGTGAGCGTCACCTGAGCTGAGCAAGTGTGAGCTCTGCACTAGGCCAGCTGCCCCCAGCCAAACACGCCCTGGTTGTCAGCGCCCATCCTTCACCAGGGAAGCTGGCCAACGCCTCTGAACAATGTGTGTGAATCAGAGAGGGGGAAGGGCGGGGAGGGGGTCAGGTTGCCGAGAGGGGCTGGACATTTTGAACCCTGGACAGAGTGACTGGGATCTTGGTTTCCCCTGGGCCCGGTGCCTTGGTGACGGGTTGGGTGTGGGCCTTGAGGTCGGCAATTCGCTCTTTGAACTTTTGCTGAAGCACTTTTTCCTCTTTGGAGTAGCTTTTGGCGAACACCGACATGAGCAGGCACCCTGCCATGGACGTGCCCCCGATGCAGAAGAGCACAGCCCCCGCCAGCTTGCACAGGTCGAGGGCGCCGTTGAACTGCACGGCGCGCCGGTCGACCACCACGAAGTCGGCTTCGCCAAACGCCTCGATCTTGGGGGGCACAAGAAAGCCCACTGCCAGAACAGTCAGTCCGAGAATCACGAAGACTGTGCCCGAGATGAGTCCGACCTGGAGAGAGAGCAGAGCGAGATGGAGTGAGCGAGGGCTTCGGCTCCACCCTGAGCAGCCAGGGCGGCCTTGGGGTTTCCGGAGAGAGGGGAGCCTTCCCAGTCAGGCCACAGCCACGTGAAAAGTCGACTTGATTTTCTACCTAAGAACCAAGGGGAAAGAAGGCCTCTCGGGGTTGAATGTCAACCTGAAAGTGCAGGCTGCATCTGGTGGTCTCCTGTTGGGACGGCGCCTGGCCTGGCAGATGGCACAACCCTCTTTCAGGGAAGAGAGGAGCAGGAGCTGGCCCGACTCTTCCGCACGCTGGGCTGTTAGGAGCTGGCTGCCGGCTCACAGCGAGGCCAGGCTCTGTCGGGCACAGTCTCCCGGAACACGGGCTCGGACGAGCTCCTCCTGTGGCTGTGACAGAGTGAGGCAAGACAAGCCCACTTCACAACTGGGACTCAGCTCAGACCCAACCAAGGTCATGGTGCACGCCACTAAGGCCCAGCCTCCACTCCTCTGGCCAATCTGACCCTGTGGCCAGGGCTGCTCCTTGCTTTGGCCTCACTATATCTTCCTTCCCTAGAGATAAGATTTATTAAACATCCAGCTGTAGACTCTCCCTGACCCTCTTCCACTTCTTCCTACCCTTCTCCGATCACCCAGCCAAAGCCTATAATAATTCATCTTCTCAAGTCTCACTGGGTCCCCAACTTGTTCATATGTTCCTGGAGGTTTGGGCTAGAGCCCACTGTCGATCCTTACCACCTCCTGAGCCTTTTCCAAGCAAGCAGGGCAGGAAACATACCTGTCAGCTTATAGGAAAGGACAGGTAGCCACACGGTGGGTCGCTGGGTCAAAGATGGGTGGGTCCCAAGCTTCAGGGGCAGGGCAGGGAAACCATGGGGCTGACCCCCAGCCCAGCCCAGCCCAGGGCTTTTTCTACCCTCCTGTAGCTACCTGAGCTGCAGCAGCTACTAAATGTTCAGAGTAGCAGATGGAGCTTGAACTGCACTAAGTTCTGTGGAAGGCAACACTGGAGATGGAGAGCGATTCACCGTTTGGTGGCTGGGGCTCATGTGTTTGGTTCTAGCAATGCCACCTAGTGCTGGGAGCATGGAGGAAGAGTTACTTCTCTCATCTTTAATTTCCCCACTAACAAAGGGACAGATGATAAGAATACCTTCCTCACAGGTTGTGAGTTAAATGTGCACTTAGCTTTGCATCTGGTTAAGTAATAAATTGTGATAAATCACCATTATTTGGAAATACACTCCTTGTAAAATCGTTATTTTGCATGGACATTGGTATTAGAACAATTGCTTAGTATTTAGACTTAGGAATAGTTAACATTACTCTTGGGACAAGAAATTGTTAATAGTTTCATAGGTTTTCAAGCAAAAATTTTCATTTTCTCCTGTTCCTAACTGCTTTTAGTTAGAATAACAAGGTTGGATAAAGAACCAAATAATATCATTCACTCTTGAGTATTTAAAGTGTGTGTATTGGGTATTAAATTTTAGGGATGATGCACTGATGAAGGAGATTTGCCTAACAGAAGGAAAATATATTCATAACCCATTAAGCAGGGGAAAAGAGGACTGTCTGTTGTGGCCCAGGCATAGTGCTAGATATATTTTCATTTAATCTTTATAAGCACATCATGAGAGTTTTCATTCCTGTTTCACCTATTAGATACCGAGGGTCACAGGGTCTAAGAAGCATAGTGCCAGATCTCATGGGTAGCAGGTGGTTGGATCATATTCTAATCCAGGTCTATGTGATCCCCCATCTCTTCTCTCTCTCTGTTACTTCACTAATTATTATTTTGCATATTCTCTTACTATTACTTTTATTTCAGCTACCTATATATGGGCACATGTCTTTTAATGTCATTTTGTGAAGAAACTAAAAAAAAAAAAAGTCAATATGATGTCTACTAAAAAAACAGAACCTGTTCTACGTGAGATGTAAGTACTGCAGGAAAAAGATGGCTGTAAAGCATGACACCTTGGATTACTTTCTAAAAATAGTGGCCAGTAAATTCACCTTTGGAGACTGAACAGTATTCATAACTTTTGGAAAACGACTCACTTTGGAAAATTCTGAATGTACCGACTAAGTGAACTTAAACACCCATGGAGCCACGCTTCCTGGATGACTGAATTGCCTTCCTCCTCAAGAACTGGCACTCATCCTCAGACATGGTGGGCGTCAGGAAAGCCTCCATCTTAGTTTCTGAGCTTCTGAGGAGTGTGTGAGCCAGCGCCCTCCATCTGTCTGCCTCTGCCTCGTCTCCCGGAGTTCCTGGTCCAGCCTGACGTTCAATGACTATTCCTAACTCCAACCACCAGACCGCCCCACGTGGAGCAGGAGCAGGTGACGGATTCTCAGTGCAGCCCGCTCCCCAGTGGAGCAGCGCATGCGATGAAAATCCACTCTTGGAATGTCACCCTGAAGTGAAAAGGCAAACTGTGGCTTGCAGATGGCAGCTCTGCTCACTGTCGGAACTGGAAAAGTGGCTCGCCCCACCGCGTCAGAGTAGCGGAGGAAGGAGGGGAGGATGTGATGGACAGGTGACTGCAAGGATCCCGAGGACCCCAGGAGACATGCCCAGAGAGGAACTGCAAACCCAGGGACAGGCAGGGAGAGCTGGGCGTGGTAGGCACAACGGCAACCACAGAACGAGGAGGACTTGCTTCAGGACTTCCCTGAGAGGACTGTGGGTGTGACGAGGGGACTGGAGTAATGGAAGGAACAGGACTTGGGGGGGTGACCTTTTGGGGGCTGATTCTGTTCAGTATATCGTAAGACTTGTTTCTGGACCAGCTCTCCGTTGAAGTGGTCCTGGACCTAAGAGGAAGAGGGTCCTGTGGAACCGACGGAGCACAACCAGTGGCAGCACAGGGGGTATTGGAGGGTCCATGGGAGCCAAGAGGCTCTGCTCAGGGCCTTGTGGAGGAGCTGAGGTGCTACTGGGGAGACCCCAGCCCAACCCAGCAGGGGACAAGGACCTGCCAGGCCGTGACCAACCCCAGAGGGTAGCGAGGTGGTGTTTGGGCCGTGACTTCTGGTCTGTCTAGGTAGGGTGCAGGATGTGTGGAGCCCCAGTGGAGACCCAGTTCCTCTGTCGGGAAGAGGCTGGGATTCTAGACTGCTGCTTCTGCACCAGGGCCCTCTGCTGCTCCTGGGAGCAGACAGGTCTGCAGACGCAGCTCCCCAGGAGGCAGAGCCGCAGCTGCTGTCAGAGGAGCAGTGAGGACTGCTGGGGGAGGACCAGCAGGCGGGAGGCGCCGTCTGCGGGAAGTGCTGGAGGGAGCTGGATGGGAAGGAGCCATCTGGGCTGGAGGTTATTCAGGGAGAGCGAGCCAAGAGCAGAGACTGGATTCCTCTCCTTCCTCAGCCAGGGCTGCTGCGACTGCGCCCTCACAGACTCTGAGCAGATTCTAGCTCATACAGCCCGACCTGCCTCAGCTCACACCGAGCCTTACCAAGCAAGTACCCAGGTCAGGCAGTGGTGTGGCCCCTCCTGGGGCCTGCCCCCACACCACCTTCCCAGCATCCTCCACCGGGCCACGGGGGTCTCCCCCAGCCCCCACCCCGAGACGTCGTTCCTCCAGCACACTATAAGCACATCCAATAGCTTCCGTCTTCACAGTGTGTTCGGGAGCCCGCGTCCCATTGCTTGGGGTCATTCCTACTCTTGACTGCCGTTCTTAGTCCTCCATGATTACCTCAGAACCGCCTTCTCTCTGGTCACCGATGACCTCCCGATTATCAAAGCCAGTGTGACTTTTCTCTCCTCATCTCCCTTGGATATTCTCCAGCCATTGATATTACACCCTCAGCCCCTCTTGAAACCCTCCCCTGGAGTCACCTCTGACATGCCCTCCGCCTAACGACTCTCTTCAGCCCGCATTGCCCATATTGCCGTCCCAGGGTTCCGCCCTTGACCCCACCTCTTTTTCAATATGTCCTCACTAGGGCTGGTCTAAGGCTGTGGTTTTAGCTTCTACTTCTTGTCAAAGACTGCCAAATCTCCAAGTCCATCTGAATTGCTGTCCTGAGCTCTAGACCACATTTCTAGATGTATTTCTGATACCCTGTTTCCAAATAGCATGAGTTATAGAAGAATGTCCCAAAGGGTCTTCAAGCCCAACCTGTTCCCATTTCTTTGTCTTCCTCCCCTCTGCCCACTCCCGGAGAGCTCCCTCCCATCCACAGCCAGTGGAGTCCGCCTCACATTGATTTTGCCTCATAAAGATCTCATGAATCTTCTCTCTCCCCTCCGCATGGCTGCTCTGAGGGCAGAAGCCACGATCACATCTGTCCTGGATGTCCACAACAGCGTCCTCCTCTCCACTGCTAGTCAAAACTGACCTTGACCTTGAGCATCATCTGAGAAGTCTTTTAAAACAAAAACCATGTCACATGGTTTCTCTGAATAGTCTCCTACAGCTCCTAACCCAACTCTTTAATATCCACCAGAACTTTGAAGAGAGATCTAAGTTTAAATTCTGATGTAGCTCAGAGGAATTAGCTGAGAGGAGGAGCTTCACTTGGGTCCAGAGGGGAAAGAGAGGGGACAGAGCCACCTGCACCTTAGTAAGGCTATGGAGGAGGCACGTGGTATCGAGTGCACTCTGAGCAATTTCCGAGACAGGCTGAGGAGAAGGTAGAAGGTTAACCTTGAGGTGAGGAGAGGATGGTTGGGAGCGAGAAGACTGGATAATGCCTGCATCCTGGGCTGTGTGCTGCACAGACAATCCAGTGGCAACAGCCTTAGTCAAGGTCAAATGCAAGGATCAGAATAACATTCACCTGATTGATCCTTGGGCGGCAGCAAGTGGCAGAGGACAGATGAGACCACATCATGTAGACTTTTAAAGATGGAAGAAGCCATAGGCATTGGGTAAACCAGAGCAGCTGCTGCAGCCCATGTAACCTAGGATTCCAAGGCCCAGAGGATGCTACGTTCTCTGTGTGTGTATGCAGGTGTGCACACGTGTGTGTGTGTGTGTGTGTGTGTGTGTGTGTGTTTATACCAGGTTGTGAGACATTCCCTCCCCTCCCAGGAAAACCCCAATTCATTATTGTCTTGCTTCCCTCAAGTCTAGAAGTCCTGGAGAAGATTTCTTGCACATCTTTCATAGACTTCTGCGATCTGCTCATTGCATTTTCAGTTCATATGTGACCCTCTCCCTGAACTTGTTAATGTTTACTCCACCTGGACCACACTGTCTGCAGAGTCCGGAACATGCTACCACCTCTCCCAGCTCAGAAATGCATGCACTTCTTTCTCCTGGGCTGCCCCTCTCCTGCTTGCACATGGATGGTCCCCTTTGTGGGTGGGACCACTTCTCCAGGCTGCAGCAGATACTTACTCCTCCCTGCTCCCTGAGCCCTGTGTTCCCAGGATGTGCCATGGCTGCTTCTACAGGAGCATTTAGCGCATTGCACGGTAACAGTGTGGGTCCATGTCTACTTCCCCTGCCTGACTGTGGGCTCCCTCAGGTCAGGGGCTGAGTCTTACTCGGAGGTGAAGAATGCACCTTGTATTAAGAGCCTACCAGGTAGTCTAGAAAGAAAGGAAGAGTAGCACTGTGAGGGAGATGTTATGTTGAGCCTATGATAGGGCAACACTCTGACTCAGACCTGCTGAAGTCTGCGTCCTCCAGAAACCCCCCCCCCATGCTGCTTGTTGGTCAGGAACTTAAGCACGGAGCCCTGTCGGGGTACTAGGAGCACAGCCCCAGTGAGGGAACACGAAGAGCCAAGAGGGGACACCAGCACTTGAACTGCCTACAGATGCAGCTTGAAATGAAAAAAGAACCCAACAACACTGAAAAGGCACATAATAGGAACAGGTGCATGACTGGTACCTTTCTCTGCATTGGCACAGAGCACTTCATAAACACTGACGTGAATTCACTCGCCTTCCCGCGGAGCAGCTCAAGAACAGTTGGCTTATTCCCTTGGTACAGATTAGGGCTCTAAGACAGTGCATCCTCAGGTCATGCAGGTTGATGTGAGGCTTCTGGTATTTAATGATTAGGATACAAATCTACGACTTGGACTTTGCAGGAACATAAATAACTATGAGATCATGAACTTGGCCTGCTTTGGGTGTACATGAATGCTTGTAATAACCTGTATGTCAGTAGATAGAAGGCTTTTGGCACAATAGATCTCTCTCTCTCCCTCTCTCCTCTGTAGCTATAGGGATGGAGAGAGGAGCAGAAAGTAACCATGCAACCACCTGGTTATATCTGACCATACGAGACGTGGTGAGCATGGCTGTGTATTTCCTTGGTCCAGGCCAGGGAGGATTCATCGGAGAAGATATTTCTAGAGGATGCTGACTTGACTAATTCTAATGCAGAGCATATGACCATAGCATGAGTCTGAATTAGCACCTGCCTTGGGTAATCCATGGTAACAACTCTGCTACCCAATATGTACGTTTTAAACAGATTTCCAGTTTTACTTCCATTTAAGAACTCAGGGTTCTAGATTAGCACCTAGAAATAACTAGTCTAGCAAATTATAACTGGGTGTGAATCAGTCATTGTTTTAAGCTCTTTGTAAATATTACCTTATTTAATTCTCACAGTGTTTCTGTGGTGGGTATTTCGGGTGTTACTGTTGGGAGGCCCAAAGTCACAGGGCTGTGGGAGAGGAGAGCGGGGGTTTGAACTTCTGTAGTTTGAGGGAGGAATCCCAGCGGACACTCACCACACTGTACTGCTGCTTGTTATACTATATTACCAGTAAAGTGCAAGTTTATGTCTCCTCTTTTCCTTTCCTAAACATCGGGCTGTCCCAGTGCCCTCTTCTCTGTGTCCAGTTCTCTTCCTGGGTGATCTCGGTTTTTTTTTTTGCCTTTTTTTTCGTTGCTTCCAAGGCCTTGGGCGTTGGTTTGGGTTTTTTAATTGGCTTTTGGGTTCTTTCTTTGGTTTTTTATTGGGCCCTTCTTGTTTCCCCTGCCCGCTCCACACACCATTACCTCGCGGGTCCTGGGTTGTGCTCCACTTGCGGCCCTCACACCCCACTTGCAGTCCATCAGCATCCTGAGAGCCTGCTCTCAAACTTAGTGCTAACTTGGACTGACTGTCACCACTTCCACCAGCTGCACCCTGGTCTAAACTGCCATCATCTCTCACCGGGGAGGTTTTACAACGGCTGAGGTAATCTGGCTGCTCACCTTTGCCCACTGATACTCTATTTTCCATATGGCAGCCGGAAGGGTCTTGTTCTGATATCGGTGAGACTGTGCCATCTGCTGCACACACCTGCAGGGGGCTGCCCGCGTGCGGAGGTAAAAGCCCAAAGCTTCACTGTCATCTGCAGACCCCTCATCCATCTGTGTGCTGCTGTTTTCCTGGATCCGCCTGTCCCTTCGCTCACTCCTCCAGCCAGGCTGGACCTCTCCTCCTGTCAGGGCTTGGGGACCTGCCATTTCCCAGCACAGGACACTTTCAGCCTGATGAGCCGCAGACCTCGGCTCGCCCTGGTCTGCAGCGGGTTCCATCTCCTCTGAAAGGCATTCTGCTGTCCACGCCCCACACACCGGCCTCCGTCACCCTGGTTCCCTTCACGGCCCTTGTCACTACCTGACATCTACCGTGGGCTTTTCCTGTCCCTGGTTGTTTCCCATGACAGGCCATCAGTTCCTGAGGGCAGGGGCTCGTCCAGTTCCTCACTCTAAACTCCAGGACTTGGAACCCTCTCAGCACACAGTCAGTGCCCGTGGAGGTGGTGGAGACTGTGTGTGGGTCTAAGGTGGCTCCCGGAGCCTCCTGTGTGGAAGAGGTAGTCTGTCTCAGAATTCGCTTTCTCTAAATACCTAATTGTACCCTTTTTAAACAATTGCTGCAATTTGTCAAACAACCCAAGTCTGTAAGGGGGGCTGGAAGGGTGCCCTTTGCCTATGGTGGTTTCTCAGTCAGTGAACTGCCCCAGTCGCACTGCACTTGGGGGCCTCTCTGGGCCCAGGGGCTTAGATTCTCCTTCCCTAAGGGGAGGAAACTATCTAGTGTCGTGGGGCCCTGAACCTCCCGATTCCCCCAGCCACAGTATTTACCATGTGCGACGCTCCCTGTTGCCCAAGTGAAACCCACGTTCCTTCCTTACCTTCCAGAATACAGAGCTCCATGGGCTGGGTGACCTCTGGATCTGGAAGTCATCCTCGTACTCCCAGATGGAGGCCGTGCAGTCTTCGTAAAACTGGTGCAGGTAGGACCGGACTCCGTAGCGCTGGTGGCCGCCCTCGGGAGCAGTCTGCATCTGCGTGGACCCACAGCCGCTGCTGCTGCAAGAAGTCATTCTTCCCAGCTGGAAGGACAGCACCACCTGCATCAGCCCCCAGGCTCTGGGCTCGGGGTCAGGAGACACACTAAAGGTGAGACCTCGCCTGAATCATGTCATTTCTGTCGGAACCACCCTCCTCTCTTAAGAGGAAAGACACTTTGGAAGTCCTGTCTTCCTTGTAAGCTGCTCTTCTTTTCTGTTGAATGCAAAGCTACCCCCAGCAATCAATGGCTAGAACAGGTTCTCTGTCAGTGAAACCAGGCATTGCAGCAGGGCCCCTAAATTATGCAAAAACGTAAGCACAGGGCACATAAGAAAAGGCAATGCAGAAGATGAGATTTTCATTGCCTGGACAAGAAATCTTTAATAGCTTGGAATCAAGGTGCTTTCAGGCTGACTTGTTAGAGCATGAAGCAGGCCCTCTCACTTGCTACAGATGGAAAAGGCAATGCAGAAGATGAGATTTTCATTGCCTGGACAAGAAATCTTTAATAGCTTGGAATCAAGGTGTTTTCAGGCTGACTTGTTAGAGCATGAAGCAGGCCCTCTCACTTGCTACAGATGGAATTTGTCTTGGACTGTCCTCTCAGACATTCCACCATGTTCCCCTGTGGACGGACTCTACCTGGGAGACTAGCACCATCTTACTAGTTTGAATTTTTACCTGCAGATTGCATGCATCCTTCTCTGACATCCTGATTTTCAGACTGCACAGAAGCTTGATTAAAATCCTTCAGAACAACATACGCTTCATGCTTTATTAATCACAAATGGCGCGGTCAATAATTTACACCTCACTAACTCTAACACTATGTACTTCAGTCATTATTTGTGGATACATCTGTCTATGTGGGTGGCTCGAGCGTAATGGAGAGAGTAGATCCAGGCTTCTATGATTTCCAACCAAGTCTGCAGCATAAATAAGAATTCAGAGTTTTTAAATGAAACTATGCTGTGGGCGGGCTGCTTGGCGCTCTATCTTTTTAAGATGGAAATTTCAACTTAATTTGAACTAACTGATACCCTTGGAGACAGGCATTTATTTTGGTTAATAATTCATAGTTAAAAAAAAGTAATTACTGAGGGGCAGTAATTTTGGTGAGTCAGAGAATTCTCAGTTATCCTCTGTCTTTGGTTTTCTGATCTCTACATAAGCAGATAGATGTGCAGCTAGAAATAAGATCTGCTTGTTTGCATTTTTCAATTGTCTTCTAGATTTCTTTCCTCGTGTGGACATAGTCTACCTACGATAAAGTGAGGGGAACACAGAAGGCAATTTTCTTAGGGGAAACCTCTCTTGTGCTATAATGCAGGCCAACAGAGACATGTTAAGTTCTTCCAATTATCATCAAAACTCAACTAGCATGCTTATCTTTAAGGACAACCATCTGTCATTCTGTCTAGTGCCTGTGTGTGGCCACTCAGTGTGGCTGGCTAGAGTCATGGGGCAAGCTTGGGACAGTTAATGTCGCCCCTTCCCAGGGGCACAAAGCGAACCCACTCAACATCTTGGAAATGTGGGCCCTTGGCCCCAGATGCTTTTGGTTAAGAAATGCAGTCAAGGTCAGAAAGATGTGGCCTGATCTTAGAAAGATGACGTGAGCAGCCCCGTTGGTGGTGGCCAGTTAGGTGCCTCATCTGCCTTCCTGTTGGTCACAGTGGCACTTCCTTGTTCTGGGTACAGCTGACATCAAAGGAAATCACCCAGGAGGACTGTGCAGAGGAGGTAGAGGAACGACTGTTCTAATCTTTACCGACTCACAAGGCTGTCATCCCGTGACAAGTCAAGATCTCAGAATGTTCTTTGCCTCATTAGTGCTCCAGAGTTTGATGGGTCAGAGGACTGTTGCTTAGTTCTCATATTTTAAGTGCTAGGATGAGCTCTTCAGTACCTTCTATTTAGTGCTTTGACAATGAGGATGATTAATAAGAGCCTGTTACTAGTGATATGCAAGCAGAATCATTTTAAACTCACCTTCAAGATGTGGGGAGCTGCGAGTCGTATTACTAACTGCTTTGTCACTGAGGAAACTGAGGCATAGGAAAATCACCTTGCTAAAGGTCACACTGTGAGTCAGGAGAGGAAAGGTGGTATTAATAGAATAAGCAGGGGCACGGGCTGCATCACATACTTGCAAAGTGAGAGCCACTCATCCAGGTATACATATTTCAGGTTTTCTATAAAGCACCAGAGACTAACGTGGGAAGGAACAGAGCAGGCACCACAGGAACAAAAAGCCCCTCGCAGTGGCAGTGGGAGCTCTCCTCAGTGCTGGGTGGCTCTTCCTCAGGACTGAGCGGGTGCAGGGCTGGACCATGTGGCAGACCATCCTCATCCCCCACAGCCACTCTGCACAGCAGCCCAATGCTCCTGATTTAGTCCCTGGTCCCTCGTCCCACCTCCTGAGAAATGGTACAAGTAACATCACAGAACCAACGCTTCTGGGCCGGAACCGCTCCTCAGAACGGATTTTCAGTGCTGCTGGATACCTTGCAGACAGGACTCCCCACGAGCCCCACTTTCCCTTCAGGAGCACACAGCATGAACAAGAACCTGGCCTGTCTTGTGCTCACCACCCTTGACAAGAGGCTGGACTCACATGCTCGTTTCTGAGCTGCCCACGATTGCTCACGGGCTCTCAGGCACGCTCCTGACCTCTCTGGGCTGTGGTTTTACAGTCCTTAACATAAGACAGTTGGATCTAATTGACCTTTAATGTCTTCCAGATGTAGTTTTCTAGGATTTTTTTGGCTACAAATACACAGAATGAGTCAATTACTTTTTGTTGAAAAACAAACAAACAAACTATATTTACTGACTTCCTACCTCCCTTAGTACCCTGATTGGTTACCAGTCCCAGATTCTTAATTCTAGTGGGTAGGAAGCTTCCGTTTAAAGGAGAATGCAAGTTACTGGTTGGGTTTGTTACCTGCTGACTTGCTACATAGGATGTGTGCTTTGTGCTTAACACATTGCTTCAGTGTAATGTATGTTGCCTAAAATAGTAGTGTCTGGGGGTCTGAGAGGATCCATATGTCTTCGTCAAGTTATAACTAGTTGGGACTCAGTTCCAGGGGAGAACGACCCTGTGGAAGAACATGAGGTTTGAAATACGACAAGGGAGGGTGAAGGGTGTGGACCTGCCCAATCTCAGCAGACTCAGACACGACTCATAGAGGAGCTCATACCTTTTTGTTCCCCCCAGGTTTTTTTTTCCTTTTTTTGTCCCAGAGAATATTACAAATATTGGAACCTACTTGGTTGATGGACATCTCTGATATGATAAAAAGGATACAGGAGGTCACTTCATAAAGTCACCTTCAAAGCTGGCAGCCATTAAATCATATTCAGTAAACTAGGATCAGGACAGGAATGGACGGGGTGCCAAGACTGGTAGTTTGGTCAGTGTTTTCTTTCCCAGCAAGTTTGCCGGGGTTCTGGGTGTACTTCAGCAGCGGCAGCAGCGGCAGCCAAGATGGCCATGTCAAGCCTATGAGTGTGGTCGAGGGACAGATCTCACAGAGGGCTCCTCACTTCAGAGAAAGCATGAGTAGAGGGGAGAATAAAAATGCCTCTAGAACCGTATTTAAGTCACACCATGTTAGTACACATCTGCAAACACTCGTGGTACCCTCTTCCTCTCCGCCTGGCAACTGGACGGAGCCCAGGCAACACATGGGTGGTCCTTGGGTCATCTCTGCAGAAGCTCTTGTCTTCACCTCCCTGAACGGAACGCTGGAGGGCATTCTAGATGACCCTCCTTGGCTTTCTTTTTGCTGTTATCTGTCTATAGCAACTGCCTCGCTGCATGCATGGTTACACATTAAGGGACTATTCACTTATCTGCACCACGGCATGCCTCTTGCCTCTCTGAGACCAGGGAAAGAGAGGAGACTCCTGCATTCTCCTAAGAGACTCGCCACCATCCCACAATCTGTGGGTCTGATATCCACACCCATGCTCTGTCCCCTTGTCCAGGTTTGTTTGGCTTCCCGCCACCTGTTACCACCTGCTATTCCAGGTGTGGCTTGTTTGTGATCTGATGGACTGTAAGCCTCATGAGGGAGGAGGGGCCTTTTCTATCCTGTTCACCACTTTAATCTCGGAACTTGGGAATTTTCTGGGTGGGTAGTATCCTGAGTAGTCCTCCATGTCTGGTTTTCCCTTTTTCCCAGTGTTTTGAAAGTGTTAGCTCTGTGCCAGGCACCTGTGAGAGAGCTGTTATGAAGTGGGTGAGACACAGGGGGCCTTCAGTGGACTCTTGGGCTGGAAGGAGACACACTCTTGAAGCAATGGAGGCAGCAAAAGGGGCATCATAAAGAGGCATTGCAGCAGGAGAGAGCTATTCTGAGAATCCCTTTAGGGATGTCTTAGTTAGGCAAACAAATGCTTGAATGTGGTATTGTGATTGCTACGTGTACCAGTATGTAGTAGCATCATTTTGCTGGGAATTTGAATTTCAGTCCAATGCATGCAGTTATCTTTTTAAAAAAAAAAAAACATTTTTTATATATATTTTTATACATTTATTTATTTTTATGTGGTGCTGAGGATTGAACCCAGGGCCTCACATGTGCTAGGCGAGCGCTCTACTGCTGAGCCACAACCCCAGCCCTGCATGCTGTTACCTTTTATTTCACATTAAAGAATCCTATATCCATGAAAACAGAAATAAACGCTTTTGCCCTATGAAGCTCTAAGATCACTTGTTTGTCTTCCCGGCCTCCTTGAGGGAAGAGAGGCAACAAAAGGAGGTACAAAATGGACTGTGTTTCCCACGGCTGTGAGTCAGTGTGTGGCCAGGCAGGCACAGGCTCTGTTCTGTTTATTCACTTTGAAATATCATTCAATTTTTCCTACTGCTTTTCTTTCCCTCAAAATAATTCTGAGAAAATGAAAGTGAAGTTCTCATTAAAGCCACTTTCCTACAGGGCTAGTGCTGCAAGAGACACGGTGTAGGCACACAGGCCATTTAGACCACTTATCCAGACCCAGATCCAAAGGTTAGCTCACTTAGAGGACTCGGTGGGCTCACGGGGAGGCAGGGGGCGGGGCTGCCTGCTGACAGCCTTTCATTTTTCCGTCAGGCATTCTGGAGCTTATCAGCACGACCTGAGACCTCAAGATGGGCTTCTACCATTGGATCATGTCAGAGATACTTTATCTTTCTGGAATAATCGTAGAGATCATGATTCTGTACTGTGAGCTTTTTAATTCCAAGTCAGTGAATATGTAGCCACTTTCATAATTTATAAAAGAGTAATGATGTGTAATTATCTCATTATCAATTACTTTAATCCTTTAAGATATATATTTTTAGTATTGTACATAAAGTCCAAAGCCAAAATGAGAGAGAGAGAACCCAGGTTCCCTTTGAAACTCTCTTCTGCATCTGCATGCACACCGCAAGGTGATTCTGCATTTACACACAATAAATGTTGGGTCTTACCTTTGAAGTCCTCTTCTCCCTCTGCCAGTTGTTTTCTCTTTGAACTTTTTTTTTTTTAGCAGTACATTCTTCAATCCTATTTGAATTAGAAAAAAAATCTCTGCAGATGTGATCCAAGTCAAAATTGAAATTTCACAAGCCATTCATAGAACTTATAAAATCCATTTTAATGATGACAGATACAAGGACAAAGAACTTCTTGTTCAAGAACTGAGATAGCTTTTTTAAAAACAGAAGTCTAACTTATAGTTCATAACTTTCTCATGAGCTGCCATGATGATGTGTAGAGTAAATGAAAAACATAAATCAAAAAGACTTTCTAAACTATTACACACTGTATAAATGCTGTTCTTATTTTGCTGAAACTATATTCCATACAGTTAACAATGCCAACTAGTTTGCTACATCAGCTTCCTAGATACTCCACAAGTGATTTCCATGGGGCTTGTTCCATTATATTGTAAAATAAATTGGTCTTATGGTCACTGTGGTTTCTGATATGCTTACCTGCATTATACCCTTACTTGGGCTCTTTGGACAATTTTCTTATTAGGCTGTTTTACTCCTATATTCATTTTCTTCCCATCATGATCATTTTACTTTCCATCTGCCTAAGAAAAGCAGGTGCCCATGGAAAATTTAATTAGGAAGCCATTGCCAGCCATTGAGCGGGCTACTGGCTTCCTATATTACTCTAGTCTTGTGAAATAAAACAATTGGGGCTGAATTTTCCGGGTGGCTATTAAAAACCCTTCCTGGTGAATTCCCATTCATTTGCAGGAGAACTCAAAGACTGGAGATGAGTAAGCCCAGCAGAGGCCTACCAAACAGTTTTTAGCATTTCCAGGGTGGGTCTATGTAGAGCGTCCTTGAACCTCCTTCAAGACCTGGCCCCCAAAGTTTAATACATGTGAGCCTATGTGGGGAAAGAAGCAAATTATATTAGATCCCTGGATGAGGATGAGAGAAGGAGACCGGCCAACTACAGGATGCTACATTCACAACCTTGTCTCGTCTCTTATCTCTCCCTATTCCCCTCTCCTGATCCTTGTCTCTGTCCCCAACGCCATCTCTGTCCTTGTTTCTGTCTCTCTCAAGTAAATATTCCTTCTTTTCCCTGATGCTTTCCCGTTTTGTCTAAAGGAACTGATTGCACACGTGCCCTCGGCCCCAGGCTGGCCTGGCTGGACCCCGGGAGCTCTCCAAGGTACCGACAACATTTTCTCAGCAGAGCCAGGAACCAATTAAGCTGTTCAACTCCAGCTGTCTTTAGGTCGCTCGCTTGGGTCGGATCCCCAACCCAACATCCCTTTCCAATAACACCAAGAAGTAGGTTCTGGGATCAAAACAAACAGCTTCAGATGTGGCAAAGGGGCAGGGAGGGCGGTGCAGACTTAATTCCGCCTGGAAAAATCAAGCCAGCTTTACAGACTCCCAGCACAAGCATCTTATTCTCAGCTAATACACAACTTTTCTTTCCTGACAAGAAGGAAACTCTTAAGTTTTTAGCTGTACAACCCCCAAATCCTTACGTAATGCAAACCACAAACCACCAAGGCATGGAGTTGGCTACCTCTAATTTCACGGATTTTAATAAGCATGGCTTCTGTCCAGAGGCGTGTGCATGGGACAAACGTCAGCGAATGAAGTGTGTGTGTGTGTGTGTGTGTGTGTGTGAGAGAGAGAGAGAGAGAGAGAGAGAGAG